AAATATTTTTTTAAAACTATTTGTTTACACACTAAAATATGAAAAATAAATATTGAACACATGACATAGATATTTTTAAACAAGTTATGACCACCTTAGTCATACAGTTGTTGTATTTCACTTAAATATTCAATAACTTAAAACAATTTTATTGGATACTCATACTCCATTACATCGTATAAAATTGAAGGTTTGCAGTTTGCAAATACTTGTGATTTGAGGTTTTGAAATTTGGGAAGAAGGTTGTGGTTTGCGAATACTTGTAGTTTGAAATTTGTGAGTTTGATTTATAATGGTTGTGATGTTTGGTTTCTCTATATTTTATCATTGATTGATATGTTTGTGATAATGTAAAAAAAATTTATTGGAAATGTTCAGAGACTATACATTTTTATTTCTTTCATTAAGATTTGTATTTGGTAACTGTTATAACATTTTTTCTCTACATTCAATAAATAAGTAATAACTTAATTAAAATTAATAATTTATTATATAAATTAATTATGTTGATTATTATTGGATTGGTTCGGATTTACGGATAGCAAATTAAAAATTCGTTGCCCGAATCAATTAATATCGATTTTAATTAGTTCAGTTTGGTTTTTGTCCGAATTGAAAAAAATACTTAACTCAAATATATTAATTTAGTTTAAATTTCAATTTGATTCGAATTTGTCCGAATGAATGAACACCCGGTACGCATGCTTGTTTGACTGATGTCATTTTTAGAGACTATCCCAAATAAAGTATCCAATTACCACTATCCCTCTTGTGGTGTTGAATAATTTGGTCTACCACGTATGTCCAATGATGAACATACACGTGCACAATATAGTAGTTCTAAAATGAGGGCAAAGAAGAAACTAAGAAAAAAAGAAGAGAATCACATTTGGTTTGCTAATTGATTTTTATTCTAATTTTGGACCATTTTCTCAAAGGAATGTCTACCTATAACGGAACACAACTCCTTAATTTCTGGTGAATGAGAGGGGCCATAATTCAAAATAAGTCTTTCTTTGGCTTTTCAATATCCTCCACTAACTAATCTCCAACCATGTAAAAATAATCATTTTTTATAAAAAATTTTATACAATTTTCTAATTTATAAATGAGAAATGCTAACGAATGCCTTCAGGATATTGGTTAAGAGATTAAAATGGTAAGTTGCGTATTATTTAAAAAATTAAAAATATATATATTTTTTAAATATATGTGTATTCAATGCTCTGAAAAGAGAAATAATCAGACTTTTTAAAAAATATTGTGTGTATTGAGTGAACTAAATATAACATATTTTCTTCATTTGAAATTCTTAAGTAGTGCCCTGAGGACATTGGTTAGTATGACCCTTTATAAATATAAAAATTTGTTTATATTTATATATAGTAATCAAACTCTAAACCCACAATTTATATTTATTAAACTCAACTTATTCTTGATTTACATTTCTTTTCTTTTATAAAATCCAAAATTTAAATTAAACACCATTTTCTTTTTCATACCTACACTCAAACTTCCCATCTCATAATGATGGGATTTTTAACATATTTTTATAATAAAGTAGAAATATATTATTTATATATTTTTGGCTTTCAAATCTTGCTAAAAATGTTAACGAAATAAATAAATAATTTAGACGGAAGAAAAAGGAATAAACAACACAATTCCATTATTATTATTATTATTATTATTATTATTATTATTATTATTATTATTATTATTATTATTATTATTATTATTATTATTATTATTATTATTATTATTATTATTTCTCAAATGGTCAATATATATTTAAATAAATATTTATAGTTATAAAATCTGGTGATCTAAATTCGAACTTAATATTTTATATAAAATATCTCTATAGACATTGAGGTTAAGACAATGAGTAACATTAATTTTACATTGATTGAAAAAATTAAGTGCAATTAACTTTTTACATACAAATTAAAATTTTGTTTTGGTAAAACTAGTAGATAGTTGATAAATTAGTTGGTAGTTGGTAGTCGGTGACTAATTGCTAATAGTTTATAGCTGATGACTGATAGTTTATAGTTGATAATTTATAGCTGATAAACTAATTTGAGTGTTTGATAATTTAACTGTTATACTAACCGATAAATACAAAATGACATAAAAAAAATATTTTTAATTAAAAAATTAGTGATCCTATTTATTAAATTAATTGTTATTCAATAAAAAAATATATTAAAAATCAAATGCAAAACATTTAAAATAAAATTATAAAATTAAAAAAACCCAAAAATATATTAAATAGATTTTGTTTTAAAAAATTTAAAGATTATGATGATTCTGTTCCTCTCTTAATTTCGTGTAGTTTTTGATTCATCAATCCCAAAGTTATGAAATTTAAATATCTAAAATAATAATATTGTAATTTGATCTTATATTTCAGTAAAGTGCATATTTCCTTCTCTTTTTTTCTCTCTCTCTCTCAAAATCCATGATATGTCTACTAGCAAAAAAATATATTCAATAATATAGTATTATATTTATAAAAAAAACATTAATAATAAAAACTCAAGTAATAAATAATTAAAATAATAATTTAAAAATAAGAAAAAAAAACAATTTAATGTAATGAAACAAAATATTCTATTGATAACAAAATGGAAGATGAATTGTATCATGGATTTGTTTGGTAAAAATAAAAACTAACTTTTTTATTCCTTCAACTAAAACACAACTATTTTAATTTAAATCATATTAAAATAAGTTTTTGACAAAATAGTGAGGGTATAAATGGAAGAACAAGTCATAAGTTAAAAGCTATAAGCTCAAAAGCAATTTCAAATAGCTTTTGAAAAAAAAAGGTAAAAGCTAGTAAAAAAGTTAAAAGTTAAAAGGCAAAAGACAGTTACCAAACAAAGTTTTTGTATTAATATGAGCTGAAAAGCTAAAAGTTATAAGCTAAAAGCTCTTTTTTATTTCTTACCAAATAGACTCTAAGTTTGTTAAATTTTTTGTTGATATTTGATAGATAAATTTATGGGTGACAAAATGGGTCTAGTTCGTTGGGAATGTCCGTTTTACTTGCAACTCGTCTCATTTTTTCGCAGGTTTTTGTGGGTCCGAACATTTACATAAATTTTTATATTTTTAGATTTAAGAAATGCAGTGTCGGCGGGTTTTTCCTACCTCACCCTCACTCTTTTACGGGACAGACGCAGGTTTTAGACTCGAATCCTCAAGTATTTCTGCCCTACCTTGTCCTATTTATTTTGTGGGCTTTTGCATGCAGATCTAAATGGAGCGGGATGCCTGTTTGCTACCCATAGATAAACTACATTATATTTTTGAATTAAATAAATGGACTATTAAAAATAATAACATTAAATAGTTTAACAATTTTTAAATTTTGTTTAAATAAGTGAACCGAGAAATATTTTTATAACATAATAAAAAGAAAATGTGAACATTCCATTATCCTAATATTTAATATTCAATTGTTTAATACCACATAATTTTTAATGTGGTTATTTTAAAATAAAATAAAAATTTAAAAAGAATTTTACAAATATAGTATCAAAATCATTTACACATTTAGAGTTTATTAAAATAACACTGACAAACTATCTATTTCTAAAAACATATAATAACATCTTTTAATTTTTTTATTAAATAGATAGACACCTCACATGCTAATTAACACATTAAAAAAATTGACATATATTAACAAAAATAATTAGTAATTGTAATTTTTTATAAATATAAATGACATTTATCTATCTCTTTTTGAAAGTATATGCCACTTTTCTTATAATTTGTTAGTAAAGAATGAAAGTACTTGTCTATTTAACGAGAACTTAAAAAAAAAATAATATATGTTTTACAATTAGCGAAGGTATTAATGATATTAAATCTAATAGATAGATGAATGTAATTTCTCCGATATATATATAATCATTAAAACATTTAATATCATCAAATAATTTTATTTTATCGTTAATTTTTTCCTCTTCCTCAATATAGTCTGATATCTAAATTTTATACTTTACGTAGTGTGTAGTATTTTTAGTTTAGATCTTAACATAATTAATATTTTTTAAGTTAGATATTTTGTTTATTTTCATATAAAAAAGATACTAAATAATACATATCTCATGATTATTCATATATCATATAAATCATACATATTTATTTTTAATATAAAACTTTTGATATATATATATATATATATATATATATATATATATATATATATATATATATATATATATATATATATATATATATATATATATATATATATATATATATATATATATATATATATATATATATATATATATATATATATATATTATGTATAATAGTAAATAGATATGGATGTTCATTTACTCAACTTTATATATTCTTTAACTTCTATGAGTTAATTTTCTAACTTTTGTGTATTCATTAAGTTAATAGTTATTTATTGGACATAAACTGTAAAACGTACTTTTAAAAAATATAATATAATATTATTTTGTCTCTTCTCTTCCTCTCTTTGATCGAATTTTTCACCTAAATAACCACCTTTTCACACTAATATATCCATTCTACCCAACATTTCAAATTATTTTCCAATCTACCCTAGTTTGGTTTTTTTTTTAATTTTTTTAACAAGGGGGCGCCATGGGGGATGGAGCCTCCCTTATAACTTGTTAGGGGGCGCCATGGGGGTTGGAGCCTCCCTACAAATTATAAAGGGGGCGCCATACCCATTGGAGCCTCCCTTAAACGAAAATTTAAAAAAAAATTTAATGTTTAATTAATTTAAAAATATTTAATAAATAATTATTAATAAATTAAAATTTTTTTAAAAATAATAATTTTGTAAATAAATAATAATAATTAGTATTTTCATATTTTTAACAATTTATAAATAAATAATAATTAAAATTTTCATTGATAAATTCTAAACAACAAATAAAAATTAATTTTGATTAAATAAATTTAATCACATACAAATGGCTACATTTGAAAGATCTTGTACACTAATTTCTACGACTCGGTCGATTTAAATGTCCGCCCGTACCGCATCCTCGATTACGCACGTTTCTTGGTGGTCGTTGTGGTGGAGTCGGGTCCACTGTGTCGTCATCAAGCATTTGTATCACTTCGGCCCATGCAGACGGATCCATATCCGTTAAGTCATCCAAATCAAAAGAGTTGCCCATGCCTTCATAGTTAGTTTGGGGTGGTTGGCTAGACGAGGCAATTTCAGGACGATAGCCTGCCTGATCGTAGGGTGGGATGGGTGTAAATGATTGGGTGGGTATTGGTTGATTGGGTGTTTGAAACTGGGAGTATGTGTGGTATTGTGGTGGATGTTGTTGGTATTCGGATTGTGAATGAGTTTGTGTGAATGGAGTGAATTGGTTAGGAGTATGTTCATATGGTTGTGATTGCGTGAGTGGGGGTTGGAAATAGGGTTGGGTGGGGGGTTGGAAATGGGGTTGGGATGGCGGTTGGAAATTGGGTTGGGTTGGCGGTTGGAAATAGTATTGGGTTGATGGTTGGCATTGAGGTTGGGTTGGCGGTTCGAAATAGGGTTGGGATGGTTGTTGGGGCCTTGATGATGAATCTTGTTGGCGTGGGTCATTAAGATACCTTGGATGTGAAATGAAACCAATTGATACAGACCTATACCAAGTCATGTATTGTAAAGATTGTTTCATTTCGTATGGAAACACGTTGTCGGACAAAACGTAGTTGGTGCGATGCCTCCATTCACGACACTCGTGTTTTGCATACTTGGTCCACGGATTATATTCCCATTGATCGGAGACTTTACCGTTGTGATATTTGTCTGGTATGCACTTTGGGGGACATGGAATATCTTGAAGCATTCCAAATTGAAGTTTCACACGGTCACTGTTGTGCATTTCGACGGTGGTGAAGTTGATAATGGGCACCTTTGCACTCCACACCGCAGAATCTTGTCGTTCAACTTGATGAAATGCTTCTAGACCAAGATACGGCCGCCAAATGAACTGAAGCATGAAAAAAAAAAGTTTAGTAATTTCTAATAATATTCAAGGAGAGCCTAACATTAATAGGTAGGTGAGTGAGTTTACATCTTCTTGGGCCAAGTGATCAATAAGATTGCGGTACTGCGTTATACTGAAGTGGGGACAATTGTCATAATTCATTCCAAGCGAAGACCACCTACAAATCGAAAACAATAAAATTTATTAATAATATGCTTAATAAATAAAACACTTTGATAGATGAATGAGAATTGGAAAAAATAATTACCTTCTAGCGAATGGGAATTCAAACTGATTTTGTTGGATAGGTGCTAGATTGGTCATTCTTGACCAACCCCAAGATTGTAGAAGAACACCACATCCAGTCCAATTTCCGGTATTGGCTATTGAGTTATGACATAAAGAATGATATAGGTGCGCTAGTGTAGCGGACCCCCAACTATATTGTTTTATTTTATCTACGTCATCTAATAAAGGTAAGTACATAGAGTGAACGACGCTTCCACTTGTATCCGGACATAAAAATAACCCTATTAATAGCATTATATAAATTCGGGTTTTTCTAATTTTTAGAATTTCAGGAGAATCGGGGGTTAATGGCAATTCTCTATAAATTTTTTTGAGCCATGACATTAAAAGTTTTTGTTCGATAGTCACGAACAATCTGGCCTCGACTATATCGAGGTTTACCTGTTACTCTGCCAAACTGAACATGAGGTTGGTGAAACAACGGATATAGATGAAATTGATGTTGTGGACGAGGAGGAAGAAGATCCAGAGACCATGGTTGATCAAATGGTTAATTTGTTCGGGAGCGGGGACTACACTGCAATGACTCCCCTGCAAGACATAGATGAAGAGGCCCTACCATTAAATCAAGTGTATTGTCCTCCTCAACACATGACGAACTTGCAATGCAGTGGCGAAGATACTTCCTCAGATTATTTCTACAATCCTTCTCAACAAATTGAAAGTGTCTTGAAAGTCGGAAACCAGTACCGCACGAAAGAGGAATGCATGAAAGCCATAAGAAAGTTTCATATGGATAACTTTGTTGATTTTTACATCAATCGGAACGACTCAAAACGGTATGTCGTAGTTTGTCGTAACGCAAGTTGCAAGTTTCGGTTAGCAGCGTCCTATCGGAAAAGAAGTGATTGTTGGGAGATAGGTTCGATGGATCCACCGCATAGTTGCACAACCAACATCAATCGGCAAGATCATGGAAAACTAAGCTCTCAATTGATATCCCAAGAGATTTTGCATCTTGTGGGCGCGGATCCATCTGTGAAGGTCAGCACAATTATCTCTCATGTTGTTGCACGGTTCAACTATACCCCATCGTATAGGAAAGCTTGGATAGGTAGAATAAAAGCGGTGGAACATGTATATGGGAATTGGGAGCATTCTTACCATCAACTTCCACAGTATCTACTAGCACTTCAGAAATATGTTCCTGGTACGGTTGTAATATTGGAGTCACTACCAGCATACACTCCTGAAGGAACATGTGTTGCTGGAAGTAGGATATTTTCTCGCCTCTTTTGGGCATTTCAACCATGTATCAAAGGTTTTGCGTTCTGCAAACTAGTTATCAAAGGTGTAGAATCCCTAAACGGCGTATTTAAGGGAACTAGGAACCTCCCCATCACAGCGTTGGTAAGGGCAACGTATTACAGATTGGGGTCACTATTTGCAGCAAGAGGCAAAAAATGGAGCGCTGTACTGCAATCAGGGCAAATATTCAGCGAATCAAGCATGAAGTATATGAGGGATGAAACTTCTAAGGCGGCCTCACATCGAGTTAGACCATTTGATCGTCACGATTACAGCTTCATTGTTGATGAGACAATGGATCACAACGAGGGTCGGCCAATGGGACACTATAGGGTGGAACTTCATAAAAATTGGTGCGACTGCGGAAAGTTTCAAACCTTCCGCATGCCTTGTTCACATGTCATTGCCGCATGTTCAACTGCTCGTCAGGATCCATTCTTGCAGCTATCAGAAGTTTACAAGGTCGTCAACTTATTCGGTATCTACAGTAGCAGTTTTCCAGTGGTAGCTAGTGAGGACTACTGGCCAACCTAACATGGAGACACAATCTACCACAATGAAAATATGAGAAGAAACAAAAAGGGTCGCCCCAAAAGCACCCGAATCACAACTGAAATGGATACAGCTGAGAAAATGGAAAGACTGTGCGGAACATGTCGTCTTCCAGGGCATACGAGGAAAAACTGTCCAAATGTTGGAACAAGTTCTAGGTAGATTTAATTTGGTCTTTAAAATTTCTGTAATCCTGCATTTTAATATTTATATCAACTTTTCATTACCACAAACAGAATTGAATTACTTCTACAGCATAAAACGCAAATCATTAAAATACAACGATTATTACAACATAACCTAAGATATAACAACAATCAAAGTAATATCATCAGTTCCGAACATCATAGACCTAACTTCGTTGTCATCTCTAATTCGCACCCAGTCACGCCGTATGTTTCCGTCTTCAACAGAAAAGTACGAGACAAGTCTTTCAATACTCCTGATTCTTTGACCATTTGGAATGTCTCCTTCTAGCCACCGATTCAAATTTCTTCGTAGTTGTTCTAAACTCTGAATGTTCCAAAACAACATTCTTATCGGAGGCTTCGTCGGAGAAAAAATTACATGCCCGTATCTTCTAAGGAACATGACTCACTCTTCTAAATTTGGATGAAACAATGTTAGCAACATGTCTACCTATTTATAAAAAAACATTTGGAAAACCATAATATAATATTTTAAAAAATTAATTTCGTTTACAAGGAGGCTCCATAGGGGATGGCGCCCCCCTTTAGGGCATTTAAGGGAGGCTCCAATGGGTATGGCGCCCCCTTTATAATTTGTAGGGAGGCTCCAACCCCCATGGCGCCCCCTAACAAGTTATAAGGGAGGCTCCATCCCCCATGGCGCCCCCTTGTTAAAAAAATTAAAAAAAAAACCCAAACTAGGGTAGATTGGAAAATAATTTGAAATGTTGGGTAGAATGGATATATTAGTGTGAAAAGGTGGTTATTTAGGTGAAAAATTCCTCTTTGATCTCTATATTGTTTTATTTAGTTTTATAACACGTTATTAGTACGAAACTCTACCATTTGAATGTTAACTAATTGTCTAAGAAGTGATACAAATAATTTGATAATGAATGTCTAACTATATGCAGCTTTAAGATTGAGAAGTTACCATTATTATTTTTTTGTTGCGTAATATATATTTCCAATTTTCCTATTATGTATTGATATATTAATTAGAAGAAAAAAATCAACGATAACTTTCATGCATCCCAGAAGGATTGGATAAATAATGTTAAAATATCTCTGAAATACTATAAAATAATGTGTTTGCTATATAGTTCCTGAAGAACTTAACAAATATCCTTGAAGGATAGAATAATAATAATTTATTATATAGTTCTTGAAGAACTTATCAAACATCCATGAAGGAGAGCAACATAATAATTTATTATATAGTTCCTGAATAACTTATCAATCATCCCTAAAGGATAGCAAAATAATAATTTAGTATATAGTTTCTGAAGAACTATTCAAGATCCCTGAATGATTGAAAAATAATAATTTATATAGTTTTTGAAGAACTTATAATGCATTCCCGAAAGATTGCACGAAAAGTGTTTATCTTTATCATTGTTTGAAGATCTATAATCTACCTCTTGGAAAAAAATTATATATATTATAAAGGATCCTTAGAGGGTTGTTCAAAGAATGAATTACTTTTATTCATTCATAAAAGAATGGTTATCCCTGGATGATTAATAAGAAAGTGATTATTATGTCTCCATTGATCAGAAAAGTATCAATGACGATTTTCATGGATCTTAGAAAAATTGACAATCACAAAAGGATTGCATGAATAATATTAATAATTATAAATTTATTAAGATTGAAAAATATATATTTTATACAAATGATTTTATATTTACTAGAGATTGAAACGAATTAGAAGAATATAATCATATGTATTATGGTAAATCAGATGTTTACAAATCACACTTAAGTGTGTTGTTGGCAAAATCGGTTGGGTCATCTCAGATGTATTATGATGTGAGAACTAGCTTTAAAGAACCAGAAGTTTCTTCAATCGAGTAAAATTTGTGTGTTCCTAAAGGAAAATTTGAGAAATTGAGTTTTTATGACATTAATTGTTGCATCAACTAAAAGATCGTGTATATGTCTATTCACAGCCAGAAGTATGTGAAATTATTTTCTCAACTAATTAGACTAAGATCTTGTTTTCTGAATTTTTCAGAAATTCCTTGATAAGTATCACACATCTTACTAACATTGATATTGAACATCTTGAAGGATATGCTCATAAAAAAATGGACTTGGAGATCAATTCTTTAGACATCCAAAGTTAGTTATATAGTTGATACTTGTGAGATCATCAATTCTAAATAAGATATTTGAAACACACAAAGTATGATATTAAGATATTTATTCGCATTAAGCCAACAAGTTAGTACATGATAATTCTACCCTTAACTTATAATTTTAGGTTCATAATCTAATAATTCTCATCTTAGTAAACTTTTGGATGTGTTGTGATTATTCAATTGCTCCAATATAGTAGGCTAAGATGAGTTTTAAAAGAATATTGAGAAAATGCATTTTATATGAATCTTGTATTTGAGGTTTTATCTTGTTCCAATAATTGGATAATTTCTTGAAGTCCAATAGATTGATTATCAATTTATAAAATAATTTTCTCAATACCGGAGGAGAGAACCAGCAGCACAAACTGTAAACCAGGAGTTCAAATGAACAATTTAAAATAAAATATTATTATATCATTTTGATCCTCAAAGTTCAAAACACAATTAATTTGCAAAGTTTATGAAACAAATTATTAGCTGTTAATATTCCACTCAAAGTAGATTCTCATATTGGACAATATAATATTGCAAATGAATTATAGTCGTGCCTCAAGCGTGGTAGAAAAGTTGGTTCCTATGTTAAAATTCCTCTACTAAGAAAATAAACTAAAGTTAAAAATGACTCAAATGAGGATATGAAAATTCTAAAAGCACTTTGACATAATTTAATTTTGAGTTCAAGAAGAATTAACTAGGTACCTGAAATTTATGAAAATTAAGAGATCTTGATAAATTATGTCATGAATGGAATATGATGAAACCAAAATAAAGTCAATATTGACAATAACTTTGTGTATAATATAGCGCTAAAGATGATAAATAATAATGAAGATCATGAGTCAGAGTCTATCAAAGATTGTAGACAAGGTGATAATTGACCAAAATGAACATATTCAATTAAAGAAGAATTAAATTCACTTTACAAGTGACTCGATTTTGGACATGTAGTTCGAACACCTCAAGGTGTAAAACCAATTGGATATAAATGACTTTTTTGTGAAAAAGTAAAATAAATGGTGAAATTGTGAGATACAAAGCTTGAGTT